TTATCTAAACCACTGGCAGCATTTTGGTTCGGTGATATCGCATCAAGAACAGACCATTCTTTGACCTTCCTCTTCTCTCCCTCTCTCTATCTTGCGAGCTGTCCTCTCTGTAAGCGTCGAAAACAACTGCTGATCTCATTAGTTGTGCCCAGCTTGGTGCCGCATTAGAATTCAGGTCAATAGGCAAGTCATGGAATGATCTGACGGGGGATCAAGGCTTCTTATACAGGGGACCTTCTCACCAAACTCATAGAATTCTCGATAACGGAGGCGTCGGGTGTGTGGGAGGTTTCTGTGGCCTTGTTTTATCTATCGATGGGTCACAACGCTCAGCAGCTTCAAGTCCCGAATGTGGAATTTGTACTCTTTCTCAAGTACCCGCATCTTTGTCACTCAAGAAGAACGGCAGAGTTTGGTGGATATCGATGCTGGAGTAGTTCTATGCCACAGTGGAACGGCGCCGGTGACACCCATACTCAATAACTATGAGAGCTTTTGAATTGTCTCATTTTGAGTCTTGCGTTTGGGAGCTCAAATTCAAGCAGGGTCTCTCTAGAGACCTAAACCTGATTTGCTAATATTTGAGTGTATGCGAATCTGACTTTATTTTGATGTTGATCATGCGAAATTTAGCCATGCAGCACTGCCGTCCTTGATATCATTGCATACAACTTGTCTGACGATTTACGTCGGTCACTAATTTCTCCACTGAGAATTCCTGCAGCGCTCCTTGTCTTGTATGAAGGCTGCATACCTTCAAGAGAACCCCTCTACTGTCTTGCACGCATCCACTATCTAGTTGCATAACCTCGGCTGAACTCGTGGTGAATGTGAGAGTTTCCCCTTTGATATCATCTACATCTTCAGGAGGTCCACGTCTGGTTTTTTATGCACCTTTGATGATCCCCACAGAGCAACGTGCTTCCTTCTTCCTGGTGACGCCAATTATCCCCCACACCACTTTGCGGCGTTGTAAGCGCTGCCTATGGCCCTGTCAAGGCAACTCCTACTAAGACCTTTCTGTGTGTTCACGACAAATCCACCGTTCATCGTAGCAGTTGTAGAGAGAGTGGGAACTTCGTAGAGGAGTACGCACTAAATCTTAGAGAGGAATATCAACTGTTTATAAATATATGGCAATATCCCAGTAAAGTAGTCAGTTGTTTGTATGGTATGAAGTTTGACCTAATGGTTTTTAAGCCATTTTCCGTGAATAACCTAAAATTTCACTAACGCTTCTATGAGCCCCCTCGGCATGTAAGTGGCCATTTCTGAGACATTGAGCACCTCCGAACAATCTGAGCTGCCACGGTTTTAGCAAGATACAGCTAGTCGGTAGTAGCCACTTTTGATGAAAAGGGCGTGGCTCATTTTCACGGCTGTTCGCACCGGATGAAGAGATTTTGGCACACCATCCTCAAGCTTGTTCCTTGGGTCCATATTAGCCTATACAATTGAGATATCTCTGCGTCCTAATTTTGTGCATACCATATTAGGCCTGGTCCTCTACTCAATATGATCTTGTCATTATACTCGCTCCTGATGGTATATTTGTCCGAGCTGGACTGAAAGGCGAACTCGCGCTGGCTCAAAGCTGCATTCACAAACATATGTGTTTTTGTTATCTGCAATTTGTTAATATAGTTGCCGATCTGCTATGTTTTCTTTTAATATCTTTTAACACAGTCTTGTCAAGTGTCTTTGTATGCCTCCATTTTCTTCCTCACGTCCTCTTACTTTTTTCTCTCCTCTCCTTTTTTTGGCGGCGTTTTTTTTGGGGGGCAGACCGCCCCGCCTCCCTGCTCACGCAGCTACCGCGCCGCTATGTGCGTGTGTGTGTGCGTGTGTGGGAGAGAGAGTAGAGAGAGAGGAAGAGAGAGAGAGAAAGAGGTGTGTGTGTGTGTGTGTGTGTGTGTGTGTGTGTGTGTGTGTGTGTGTGTGTGTGTGTGTGTGTGTGTGTGTGTATGTGTGTGTGTGTAATATACCATACTACAAACCATACATCATTTCCTAACTAAACAGCGTCTTAATTATTCCCTTCCCTACCCCAGTAGCGCCGTGTATATACCAAAGCGTACTTTGCTAGTACCTAATGAAACTAGTTCCGTGAATCAAGCGAAGCATACATTAGGATTTAGTGAAGAACACTTTTTAAACACGAGCTTCAGATCAACCCCCAGAGATTACGTAGGGCCTGGGATTAGGTACTGACCTGCAGTCGAACCGCTAACCCCGCCGCTAACAGATAAGAAAAATGTTATTAGATTTTACATATACAAAATATTACATATGTTTAAATATACTTGTGTAACTAGTTGACGTTCGCGAAATATTAACTTAATTCGCTTGTTTATAGCATCTTCTTCGTGAACCAAGCTAACAGCATTATCGATTCACTCTTTCTAAGGAAATTTTTTCTTCGCGTACGCATCCTGTGATCTTCTGTGATTCCTACCGCCCCGCGAGAAAGAGACTATATATATTGTTCTCTATTTAGACACGCAGAGAAATGTTTGTTTTTTTGTGTGCGGAGAAACGATGAACCGCTTCAATCCCAACTTTGATGTATATATATTAGCAGATATACGATGTATATTAGAAATTCAACCCGTGGCTCGCCATTTGACGAGACGATAATATACAGTGCAAAAAGGTGAATACGCGCCTGCCCATGCGTGTAGAATAAGGTAATGAGGAACACAGGACTGCTTCTGCTCAGTGCGGCAGAGGTTGCGGCAGCAGACTATCGAGATCCGACCACTGATCTCTATATAATTATACTAACTAGTAGTTAGTATACATATATATGTATATAGAGAGAGAGAGATCAGTGTATCCGACATAGAAACACACCCACCGACTGATGCACAAGATTTTCAGTTTCGGATCACCGGATGTTTAAACAGCATATTATGTGGACAAAGTAGCGCACCCGAAACCGCGCGCAGCGTCGTGTATGATATGCGATGTGTTATCCCCGGTATCATGAAAAAAATTGATGACTGTTTTATTCAGTTAATCGAAACGTGTTTTATTACGATCATGTGTTGACATTGTTCATGCGCGCGGACACGTCCATATATCACACTTTACACGTTAGCGTCTCGAAATATACACCGGGTTGACAATTCACAGGGAAAACGTCTGATTATACTAGGTATTATTTGGATATTCACAAATTCACACGAGGGAGCGAGACGTTGATAGTGCAATTAATATATATATATATATATATATATATATATATATATATACTCTCTCTCTCTTCTTCTCTCTCTCTCTCTCTCT